GACATTCCTTGGATGCATTCCTGATTTACGCATTAGACTGAGCAAAATGGCAAAGTGGTCATTTTTGCTCTGATGATTGGTACTAAAGGGGGACCCTACAAATTTGCGAGGAGGTCACTGACACAGACTTGGCTCCATGTAGCATGGGCACAAACAACATGTTGTTTGTCCTCATTCTCCCTCCCAGAGCAAATATAAAAGCTCTGCAGCATAATGAGGAACATTCATTTTCCATTCCAGTTCCAAGATTTATTTCACTAATTTATAAGGCAAATCATTAAGCACCTCTTACCCTCATGCTGAGCTCAGCTTGTCACTGACTGCAGCGTCTTTATATTTGTGTACCGCCAGGAAAACAGCACATCACAGCCAGGGTCTGTTTTTCATCGCCAGTGGGAAGAGCTGCAGCCAAAGCAATGCTTCCCCTTTCCTACCTCCCTTCTCGCCTTCTCTGTCTGAGGAACAGCTGAGGAAACCCTTCAGCAGCTGGCAGGGTACATCACAACTGCTGCAGTCACAGCATTGAGCAGCAGTGATGGGTGTGCAGCCCAGGATCCAGCCACTGCTGAGCACTGCTTGCTGCAAGTGGCAGCAGCCACTGCTGCTCCTTGGACAGTCGGTTACCAGAAGGGTTACAGCAGGAGATGCTGTAACAGGAAGAATTACTTTCCTCCTGCCCTTCCTTCCCCCATCCCCCTCACCTCGAAACTCCCCAGCTGAGGTAGGAGACCTCACTGAGGAGCCATGGAACTTTCATTTTCACTGAGCACAGCACAGCACCCAAACACACAACACTTGGCAAAAGCTGTGAGTGCTGTGCACACCAGGACTTTGCTGCTGCCCTGCATGCCAGCAGACACCATGGCTGGCAAGCATCTGTCCCATAAACACCATATTTAAAGAGTAAAGCACATGGAAGACAAACCGTGGCACAGAAATTCCTGGCCATTCAGGTGAGGTGGCCGCATGCTGTGTGTGTGCATGGCACCGTGCTCCCTCCAAACAGCTGCACTGCTGGCAGTGTCTCCTGTGGGACACAGACGGGCTCAGCAAGGCCACACCAATAACACCATCCCAGCAGCACCCTGCAGCACGTGCAGACTTGTGACCATGTTTTCTCTTGTGCTTTCCTCCACCCGTTTCCTGCGGCCACAGCTAAGCAAAGCAGGGCAGCTGAGTGCAGGGCTTTCCAAGCAGCTCTGCCCATCCAAGGAACCGCTCAGCCCCACTGCGCTGCTGTCAGCTCATGCTGACACTGGGCACACTTACCTCGTGGAGCTGCAGGAGCTGCCGTGGGGCTGGGGATGCCATAAGGGATCACTCCACATGGGGATTCTTCTCCAGGTGCTGTGGGACGTTCTTGCATGAAGGCCTTTGCAGACACCTGGCTGCTCACCACATCTTCAGAAGTGTCTTTTAATCTCCAGAAGAAGACTACCAGCTCAGCCCATGTTTTTTTTCCCCTGTAGGTGTCTGAGATGACTCAGCTCCACGGCTCATGTGGCATTTTAAAATTTCATAAAACCTTTAATGCCTCTGGCTGTTTAGCAGTGAAATTCATGAGCTGCTTCTTGAGTGCATTTTGTTAAACCCAGAGGTTACATGATTCCTACTGCCTGATTACTCTGTAATGCTCCCGTGGGCTCCCTCAGGGTGCAGGAGATGAGCTTTGCAATGCTGCTCTGAACTTATTTTTAAGATTTTATTCAAATGGTTGCCATGAATTCCCAATGCAAAGAGAACCTCCTTCTATTTATTAAACACAGCTCAGCAGCACGGAGTACATCTTTAGCACAGCAGATTTGCATCAACCTCAGCACCTCTCCCTTCCTTAATTAGCTCTGCAGGCACAAGGCCCACAGCACAACGCCCTGGGAAGAAAACAAGGTTCATGCTAAGAAAAAAAAAAATGTAATGCTTTCAATTTAGTGCCTGAGAAACTGAAGCAGCAGCTCCTGATCCAGCAGTGACTCCCACACATCGCAGTGGGCGTTAAATCAAATCCTAAGTGAGCCACTACTTCTAAAATCCCCACGGCTGCTGCCAAGGCACTGTCACACGGGCAGAATGCGTGTTCTTCCTCTGGCCACTTGTTCTCACCCACACCTGCAATATTTGCTCATCACTCTGGCTCTAAGCAATACAAGTTGTCTTTTTATCCTGAAATCAGGCCCACTCGCTTTTGCTGAGCAGAATATAAGCTACTGAAATTCGTTCCCCCACAGCTCTTGTGCATGGATGGCCAAATGACTTAGGACACAATTTGCAGGCCCTGTTAGCAGCCTGCACCCTCAAGAAGATCGAGGCTCTCACATTTTGCATGTTTCACCCCTTTCCTTCCCCTAGGCAATTACTCTGCATTCACCTGGACTTGGCTGTATCTCTAATTCATACAGATGCTCCCGCAGGTTTCAGGTCACTGTTCTCTCCTGGGGAGTGGTCAGATTACCTCCAGCACCGGGCTGTGGGCTGCAACGTGAGGCTTCGCTGCCTCAGAGACCCCAGATGCAGGGAGCTGCTGGGCTCCTTCTGTCCCCCCAGGACACACATGCAGCCCTGGCTTTCTGCTCACCCAAAGGCTCCGCAGCCCCATGCTAACAGCTCTCCAGGGATCTGTACAGCAGCTGGGAGGAGATCAGAGCATCAGCGCTTCCGTGGCCTCACTCAGGTTGGCTCTGTGTCACTGCTGGAATAATCTGTGGCCATCTTAACTCCTGTGCTGCAAGGAGGGAAGGAAAGAAAGAAACTAAGAGACCTGAGCTCAGCTGCTGAGGCCAGTGACCCAATGCTATGCCCCATCCCAGAAGCTAGGAGTAAACAACACTGGCCTCCTGAGAGCAGCTCATACCCAGCACCTCAGTGCCACTCCATGCTGCCAAAAGGAGATGCAGTGGCCAATCAAAGCATCCCTTGCTCTTGCAGGTAACAGAGAAGGTTGTGTGCCACTACAGTCGGACCATTACCCAAAGTACACAGGGCTGCTCCCATGCACTGAGACGCCCTGTGAAGCTCTTAATGTGGTGTCAGGTTAAATCATTGGTATTGGTACATCAGACTGGGATTTTAAAAGCAAACACCTCTGTATGCAGGTGTGCCAGGAATGCTGCCCGTGACATACCCCCAGGACCAGCAGCTGCCTCAGGCTCTGCCACCAGTAATGAAACAATTACAGATGATCAGCATCACAACCGAGACCCACCTGATATCCAGACAAACATCTCCTGCATGATGCAAAAGACCAAAAAGGCAAGAGAAACTGGGCTGTGTGGACCCATCCTTTCCCTTCAAGGCAAGCATTAACTTCAGTTTATTTCCATCCAGTTCCTTTAGCTCAAATTGCAAAAGAACCACATGTTTCTAATTGGTCTCCTAGGAGAAACTGCAGATTTTGCAGCAGCGTCAGCTGGCACTGATATATTGCCCTATTCTTCACCTACCTCCAAGAATTCAAATTCTGGTTTAATCTAATGAGGTAAACTGGGGTAAAGCAGCCATTCAATGAAGCACCAGGGTTGTTGCACGCTGGAGTCCAATGCCCAGCAAAATGGTGGATTTGACACTAAACGCAATCTGTTTTGTTCAGATCAATGGAACTAAGTGTAAATATCCACAAAGCTTCTCTTTGCTGTACACACCATCCACCTGCACACATCATTACGAACACATTGACTGATATTTGGTGCACATCACAGAACAGACTTCTGAGGTGAGCCCTTCCCAGCCTTCTGCAGGGCACACCACACCACCACACCACGCTGTTTCTCTGGAAACATGAGCAGGGCTACTGATACTCCTGCATAAATATGCAAGCTGAGGGCCCACAAATGCTTGTTTGTCAGAGCTGGGGGAGCACCCAACGCTGCGCTCACTGACAGCAAAGACAGAGCAGCTGCAACCTGCACTGCCTGCACTGCTGCTCCCAGGTGGGCTGTGAGAGGTGCAGCACACGGAGCCACTCTGGGTTCCCTCCTTCTGCAGGTGGGTGGGCTGCCATGTTACCTTCAGTGAGCTTTGCTTGTATGCAGCACAGACGATGGCCACCCTTCTGGACAGTGTTATTTCTTGAGTTCATGCTGCTCAGTGGGTAAGCTCAAATGGCAAAAGTGATCTGATGTGAAACTAAAACCATTTATTCATGCTCAGGTCGATGCCCCGTTCTGAGTGGTTATGAGATATTTAAAGCTTTGTGAAGCCCAGAGGATGCGGATGCTCACAGACAGAGCTGAATGGCCACAGGCAGCAGGAGAGCAGTCAGCACACACACAGACAGTGAAAGATCTCCGGGTAATGCCTGGCACCATGGAACAATGGAAACCCATTTTGCCATGGGCAGAATCCCCAGTTTGATACGTAGCCACCTGATTCATGATCTGGGCACACAGCTCAGCCTGAATATTCCTGTCACTGAATACTTAAAGAAAAACAGTCATCCATATGATAAATATCACTGGTTTGGCTCAGCACACAACATTGGTTTGAAAGATTTTTGACAAGGGATTCATATAAAAGCTCGTGAAATTGAATTATTTCTTCCACTTTCTCCACGTACCTTTTCCCTCAGCAAAGCTTTTTGCCCATGTTCAGCACTTCTTGTGCATGCTGACAATTGGAAATGACTTAAAATCAGCCCCAGAAGGTGCTGTGTGAAAAATAAACACTTCAGAAGCACCGTGAGGAGTTCGCAAACACGGCATGCAGGAATGAGTTCAGAGGCTATCATTGAGAGAAGGGCCCATTTCAGCTGGTTCCATCTGATCAGCACTCGCCTGGACCACGCAGAGCCAGGAGATGTGCAGGTGGCAACTGCTGAGAAAGAAAATAATTATGCTCTTCCACTGCAGTGTATTTCTATTCTGTTCTATGTACATGTGAACAGCAGAAATGAGTGCAAGAGTTTCACTGAAATGATCCATAGTAATCCTTATGGCTTCGTCCAATCTCCAAATCCAAACAGCCACATCATTTCTCATTTTGAATACTCAACCCATCCACAAAAGGAAAACGTTTACGCCGTTCTTTTATTGAGATTATGTCAACCTGGAAACAGATGGACAGACAGCAAGAAGGGGAAATACACATCAGATTAATGGGAGCAAGATGTCCCAGCAGCCATTCCCAAAGTGCAGTCTGCTACACCACAGGATTTTGTCACCTGCCTTATCCAAGGGGAAAAGCACATCCAGTTGTGCCTAGAGCATCTAAGCACCCGTCAATACCGTGGCACTAGCAGGATTGCAAGAGCTCAAACTCCGTGCAGTGAGCGCCCATGGATTCCCAGGAAAACATCACAAATATCACATACACAAATGGACAGCCCGCTGCTATTAGAGAGGGATGCTTTTCTCTAGGTTTTCTAATTGTTCCTCGAAAAATTTGATCTGTTCTTCGAGGTCCCTCTGTTCAATCAACAAAGAGGTCTTCAGTTGCACAAAGTGCCTGTAGGCCTGGAGCTGCTGGTCGGTCAGGTATTTGGCAAGGATCCCAGCCACCACCCGCTCCCTGCGATCCAGGTTTTCTTTCAGGTCCTTTGCATCCTCCCGTTGTCTAGACAAGAGCTTGTGCCGTTCATTCAGCGATTGCTAATAGGATGAAAAAACAAAGCAGCATGCTATGAAACCTCATAATTCCTGGCAGACTGCAGATCTCCATTTGGAAGCCATGGTCGATTTAGTTTAATTGCTTCCTCTTGTGGGCTTTGTGTTCCACATGAGTTTTTTCTATATTAAATGACTCACTCTTGTGGCTTGTAAGGTAAAGACACACAGTAAATCCCACCAAGGCTCATTCCTTCCACAGAGCCCTCAGGACAAAACTCAATGCACTTCGTGTTCTCATAATTTTGAGCATTCTGTGTCCATATAGTTTCAATTAGAAGCTCTTTAAGGCACGCATCTTTGTATTTTCTGAGTTGCATGTGGCCAGAGTGCCACTGTCAAGTGAAAAACATACCGTGACTTAAAACCCACAGGCAAGAAAGTAACTTTGATGCAAGCAGTAAATGCTCGTCACATACACAAGAATCAAGCCTTGTCTGTTCTATGGGATTTTAATTCCCTCCACATTTTAACCAATCTTCCATCAGCTGTAATGATTGGCACAGGGAGGGCACTGCTGCAAAATCCCCAGTTTCAGGACTACGTCCGTAAGTACAGCACAGAGCAGCTGTCAGCTCCTGCATCCCAAGCACAGCAGCTGGAATTCAAGGCTGCTGGGGCAACTGTAGTGACTTGTGAAAATATTGCACATGATCAAGTCTTTACAGAGCACGTTATTCCAAGTCTGCAATTAATGATTTTAATGCATTTGCTATGAAGAGTACAGATGCAGCACTAAAGAAACCAGCTTGCCACCAACCATGAAACACAAAGGCTATTTGGTGTGAAATGCTGCCCAGAATTATTTATGCTAACATGATGGACATCTTAGAGCAGGTAGATCCTGCTTCTCCTCATCTAAATCTAAATAATGGCAAGCCTCTAAAGCACACAGTAAAGGTCAGCAGCACAGCTCCAGGAAACCCCAGCAGTAATGCTGTGCTTTTTTGTTTCCTAATAAGAATCACAGAACTGTAGGGGTTGGAAGGGACCTCTAGAGATCATCGAGACCAACCCCCATAAAGCAATAGCAGCAGCAGGTATTGTTTTGATAAATGCATGCCTAGAAGCAGTAAGGACAGCAGGAAATCATTGTCCCTAGGCTATACTTGTTTTCTAGAAAAAAAGGTGTATTTCAGACTTAATAAGATTTTCTGGCAGCATGAGAAAATTCCCAATTTTCCACTAGAACCTGCTGGTCAAGTTAAACTATGGAGAACTTTATCTGTAGGTACAACCACTTCCTCCTCCTGCTCCCTATAAGACAAGCTCTTCTAGGGAGATAAGCTCTTATAAATGAGATAAGCTTTCTAAAGCAGCAATTACCAGTGGGCAGAAACCCACCCCAGATGCACAGGTTGTGGTCTGACCCCGGGGAGCAGCCCTGGGCTGGATGGCCCCTGCAGCTCAGCGCCGGTGTGCAGCTCACCAGCATGCAGGGCTTGTGGGAAGCGAGGCGAGTGCAGCCCCATGGGACAGACGTGGACAGGACTAATGAAGTACTCGGCGCTCTCACCTTCTCCTCAGCATCTGTGTTGCCATCAATCTTCCTCATGGCGTTCTGGACGCGGGCGAGGCGGCTGGACAAGCAGAGCAGCAGGCTCACCACCTTCTCCAGGTCGCCGATGAACATCAGGTAGCGCTCAAACTCGTTGGGCTTGCAGGCAGCACGCACGGCAGCCTCCAGCTCCTCACCACGCTCTGCACACTCCTTGGCCTCAGCAAGGATGAGCTCCCTGTCCTCTGCCAGCACCCGCACTTTGGCCCTAAGGCTGGAGATGAGCTCCAGCTGCAAAGGGAAAAAAAAAGCGTAGAGAAAATGGATTGCTGAAGATAAGCCGTATCACTTACAAAGGATGGATCTTCTCATGTCATCTTTGCCCCACTTAAAGCTTAAAATAATTTCAAGCTCTGGGAAAGAAGAAAAGGAAGATTATCCATGGTATACTTAGTTCTCAAACTCTGAGAAGCAAACAACTGATCGTCGCCTCAGTTGGTGCCATAACTCCTCACTCAGAGAGCCAGAGCGAACTGCTACAAAGACTTCCACGTGTTTAAACACGGTTATGCTCTGATACATGAGTGTGAAGCCACAGCTCCATTACTTTGCTGCACGAGGACAGACTGGAATTTCATCTCACAGAGAAAGGCAGCTGTGCAGGTGATTCCATTCAGCCCAAGGGCCTGGTGGCAGAGCAGGTGCAGGAGGCTGTCGAATACCAAAGTGTTGATATGGAAAAAGGCTCCTAGATCACAGAGGGATAAGAACTGCCTCAGCTTGTTTAGAAATAGGCCGATGGCACCGTAATGAGCAGCAGCAGCAGATCAACAGCAGGCAGCAGAAAATATCCCTATGCCCAGAGCAGGAGGAATTTCAAGGGGGCAGATTGTAATTACCTGAGATGAAGTTTCTACAGGAAAAAAAATAGTGTAATTCCTCAAAGCTGTGTGTTACCCTTCTAAGATGCCATGCTCCTATCTGTAGGACTGGCATCCAGCCATGCCCACCTCTATTCCCTGCAAGTATGGAAATTAATAGGCTACTTGTGTAAAATGCTGCCAAGTTCTCCCTGTGTTAAAAACATTTATTATTTATTGTTCATTATTTAGGCTGCCAATTGTAATGAATTCTACAGATATGGAGACCACATTTGAATGTTAGTTCACAAGGCAGGAGCTGTGCAGGAACAAGGAAGCAAACAATCAAACAATCCCAGGCAACCCATGGGTGTGCTGCACACACTGCTCCCACGGCCTGCTGAAGGTTGGCACGTGGAAGGAGGGACCAGAATGAAATCAGGCAGAATTTAAACACCACCATTTGTGATCACCTTGCCTGTTCCCAGAACATTAGCTACTGGAAAAAAAGACTGACTCGAAGTTATCCACCAAACACAATCACTGGGATAAAAGCTATGAATAAAAGCATCCACAATAATAGATGTGATGCAAATATGTTTGTGACGTGGTGAAATAGCAATGGTTCATTTGATGCTCATCTACCTTCTTACACGTGATGTCATCTAGGTCCTTCATGTCATCTGCACTCCTGCCCAGTGCATGGTCTCCCTTCCCAGTGGGATCTTCACTCCTTTGCTTGATGGTGAGTTCAGACTCAGGACATTCTTCTGTCACATCTCCACTGCTTTTCCTGCTGTTCAAACAGAAAATAACCTGTGACAAACACTGAATACTGCTCACAAACGCTGTTCTTAGGTGTCTCCGCTTCAGAATCACTTGTGTCTCATCTCACAGCAGGGACGTTTTAGTGTTTTAAAGGCTGTGCAGTGTTTTGGCAGACAAGGTTTGTCAGTCCCTTTCAGACAGGTCTCAATCTGCTCACTGCAGTGCAGGCAGCTCAGCACACTGCTGCCATGCACTCAGTGCAGCAGCACGGCCACCAGGGCACCTCCTGTCCCTGCTCAGCCCATCTCCCTCTCACATGCAGCACGCTCAGAAGATCTGATCTGCAAAAGCTGTCAGCATGTAGAAACCATGCAGCTCAGCTGAGCAGCACCAAACTCCCCCCCGGCAGAAGGGGCTAAATTTGTCATACCTCAGATGCTCATCCACCAGTGCACAGCTCACTTATTTCTCATGCTTTCAATGCACACAGCACATTCATTGGCATGCAGCTGTCACATGTGCCCTATTCTAGCTTTCTTCCCTCATGCCCCCTCAGCCTCAGGTATTTTTGGACAGGTAAACCAGAAAACTATAATGTTTTGCTAATGAAACAAACATTAGAAAAACACATCTTCTCAGGACTGGTGCATGTATAACATTCACATGCCATCCCATCTTAATACAGCAGTTAATGGGTTTTGTCTACTCACTCGTTCTCCCGCACACGTCGCAGATCTGCCTTCCTTCTGTGCATTTCCAACACAGAAACGTTAACAGGGAAAAGACCCTCCATCAAGTCCAGAGCAGTTTTTCTAACAGGATAAGGCATGAGGACATCAACCAGAGAGCTGTCTTTGGCAATGAGAGCCATCGCAAGCTCCTCGTAACGCCGGTCCTCAGGAGAGCACAGCCTCCTTTGGGGCAGGTCCGTCTCCCCCTCCTGCAGATCACCACCCCGGCCGCTGTGTGCAGCTGCTTCCTTTGCACCCCGACCTGGGGCTGCACCTCCATCTCCTTGCTGAGGCTGAGCTGGCAGCACAAGGCAGCTTGCCACATTCTCCTCAGCAGCCGCAGCACTGCTTGCCTTCGGCTGCAGCTCCGGGCACGTCGTTAAAGCACTGCCAGTCTGAGATCCACTTCTGCTTTTCTTTTCTATTTGAGCATCGTCCCTGCTTCCTTTTCTTGGGCTGGGGATAGAGCTGCTGGCAGCTGGCTCCTCACTGTGCTGACACAGAGAGCTTCCAACAACACTGTCTCGATCTTCGTGGTTCTGGCATCCGTCTTCCCTGGGATCATGGGAACTGTAAGAATAAAGACAGATGTTCCCTTTACTGGAGATGATTCCTCTATAGCAGACACTTTGCCATACTGTTAAGCAGCTGCAGGTAACTGAAGGGAAAAGCCACCATAAGCAATCATGTTCATAAAGGTACAATAAGCAGGAACAGGTACTTGTAAAATATATGTAGGACCAGATCTGTGAGTGCAGAGGCCCCTCTGAACTCAAGGTGACTGCAGCCCATCCTCTGCAGATATGGTGTTCATGCATACACACCCACATGAAAACGAGCAGAGCAGCCCAGCCATGCGTGTGAATAGCAGTGTGCTGACATGACTGAAGGAGCAAAACTTTCTTTGCCCACTAGCACCTTTTTAAATAAAATGCTGTGATTGTGAGGGCAAAGAAGAAAGGAAAAGCAGAGGGTTTCAATAAAAGGGGCTTTTTTTTAAGCCTTGATTTGACTTGACCTACAAACTTCAAAGTTGTAGACACAAAGCAGAAGTTTTGTCCCACAGAATGGGCACAGAGTTCACCTCAGTGCTTGTCAACCTAAACTAAGGTCACAAAGTCAACACAGCCGAGAGAAAAATCTGTCCTTTCCCCACTCCTGCTGCTCACCCTGGTGCAACAGATGGCGTCGGCCTCCCCAAAGCCAACCTAATGTAAGCATTTTCCTTCCCTGACAGAGACTGGACCAGTGGAGGGACTTCCCAGCTAGGGATAGGGATGGTAGCCTTGGGAAGAGATGCACACAGTGACCAAAGTCACTCTCCCTGCAGGTCTTACATGGGACAACCTTTGTAGTAATTAACAGCACAAACAACACCTGTATGCTCTGCATTTCCCACCACAGCTCAATAGCACTTTCTTGGGAGGAAAACCAAGAGAACAAATAAGATACAAGTGCTGCAGTGAAATCCATACTTCAAGTTCTTTCCCAAAGATAATCATCTAAATTAGTTACTAATCAAACCAGCTACTGGCTTTTCATCTCTGTTACTCAGTACGTGGTACAGAACTCTGATCAAACACTTTTCTGCCCTTCCACTGCTGTCTTAAACCCCAAGTGAAACTCACTGAGCTCCCAAGCTAAAAGGGAACGTTTAAGCAAAATTCCAAATCTCAGGAAGCTGTGAATGACTTTTGCCAAGAGGAGCAGGCCTCCAGCAGCCATCAGGGGCTGCTCAAGTGACTGAAACAGCAGAAATCCTATTTATAGAGGTTATTATACAGGCGTCAGCTTCATTTCTGTGTCAGGACAAAGCTCAGGTTCTCTTTAACCCTGCTGCTAAAGCAAGCAAAACGGATAGCAAGACTGAACACACCTTGCTTCTAGCTAGTTATTTGTACACAGCACGGTATGTCTTTTTTTCTTTGAGAAAGCAGAGCCCCAAGGCTTCACTGTCACCCAGGAGGCACACATGCACACATATGCAGCACTGCAGCCCGTGCTGCTCAGCGCAGCTGCAGCCGTCTCCAATAGTCACACGAGGGAGCTGTGCTTCCAGAGGAGCAGCTCAGGCACACAGCACTGACACACTCCTCCGCTGAGGAGAAATGACGTTAAGGGTCACTCCAATATGAAAACAGGTTTTTTGTTTTTAAAGCACAGTACACAAATATTCCCGTATGGCCAACGAAGGATGCTAAGAAAGGAAGGCGGAAGCAGGCAGTCACACCCAGCACTAAGCTGTCACTGCTTGAACATGGGCTCTGCTACACTTCAGGAGCAGGGAACGGATAAACCCATCCCCAGAAGATGGGCTACCCCAACACAGAGCAGTGATGAGGCCGGAGGGGCTCTGAGTGCGGGAGGGACTCCAGGAGGTTTTGTGCTTCTGGGTGAGCTCTGCCCTGCCCATGAGCTCAGGTCGGGGGTTTTTGTCTCTCTCCAGGCAGAAGAAGACAGCCATGTGCCCCACAGCAGTGCTCCTGCAGCCTTACCTGGGGGTGCTGATGTGGTTTCCACAAGGCTGGGCTGGTGGCACCGCACAGCTGGCACATCTGTCTGCAGCCTGGAAATGAGAGCAGCACACGGTACAGGCGGTGCTCAGACCACGCAGCTGCATTAGCAACAGATGGGTCCTTCACTTGGATTCCAGTCGTTTGGGAGTTTCCCAAAGGGTTGGCTTTGGACACAAGCTTTTCTTCCACCCCCTTCCACCTCCCCCCCTTTGCAATAGCTGTGCACTAATTGTGCAGTTGCTTCTGCTCAGACCAAGCACACTTCTGTCACAGAAAGTTTCTTCCTTTATACACTCATGTTGCAGCTCTTTGCATAAAGGACACCTTGTTTGTCTGCAATACATCCTTACAAAATATTTTTAAGAATATTGTAGTTATTGGTAACCATAAATACATAATACATTACAATTGCCAGCACTTCTCTTCAAATCCCCCCTCCCAATTACTTCTGCATGCTGCAAAAGCAGAGCACAGGCTTTGCTTTCAAGCAGCAATGTAGCATTTCCTATGGATTAAGCAGACAGGCCTTCACCCCAACTTCTTCCACCCCCTGCCAGAAGCCGAGCACTGATCTCCTCTCACTCCTGATGAGGAGCAGGTTTCCCAGTGACCAGTCCACCCGCTTTCTCTGCAGCAGAAGGCTGCACCCCGCCATCCCAACACTGCTCACCTGCATGGAAGGATGCTCCACTTCCCTCCCCTGGGCAGCAGCACCTGAGAGAGGGATGCTGTGCACAGACACACACTCGGTGCTGCAGCTGCAATCCGGTGCTGCAGGATGCAGGCTGGGCTTTGCTGGCACCGTCCTGCATCCACCATCTGCGTTTGGTGAGGGAACAGGTGAGGAAGGAGGGAAAACATCTGGTGCTGCTTCTTCAGAGAACACCTGGCAGGAAGCATCATTGCTTGGTGCCTTTCTGCTCTCACCAAGGTTGGAGCTCCTGCCAGGAGGCCATTTAGGATGCGAAGGCCCCATCTGCAGGGGCAGTTTATGGAGTGGGGCGTGCTGCATGCTGCCTGGTCTCTGACTGATCTTCCGTTCCATGTACTCCATCAGTGCAGTGTGCTGGATTTGCTTCAGCTCCGTCCTGGAGATGCTCGAACTGGAAAGAGCCCTGCCTCTGCTCTCTGAAGTCCTTCTCCTGGCTGTGGCCATATCCTGCTCGGTGCTCTCATCGCTGCCTCTGCTCCCCTGGACTTCCTTGTCTGCCAGCAGATTGAGTTTCTCAGGTTCAGAATAACACAGTTTCTTTTCCTCTTTTGTCAACCTTTTTCTTCCCCCTAATCGACCTGCTTGTGGCCTCTTAATTTCTGTGTCTTTATTGAAACCTTCCAAGGATTCTAGGTGAGAAGCAGAACAAGGAGCAGGTTTGGAATCTTCGTTTGCATTGGACAATGAGAAAGATCTAAGGTGCTCAATTGAAGGCCTTTTGGAGGGCTTCTGTCTCAGTCTAACAGGCAAACTCATTTGTAAGTCTTTTCTTTTAAAAGAAGTTTCTCTCAGAACCTTTTTCTGAGCCACTTTAAGTTTCTCTCTATAGTCATTCTTAGAACTCTCCTCCACGGATGAAGCAGGAGTCCCGAGAGCGATGTCTTCAGCCTCGTTCAGGGGATCCCCGTTGGCACAGTGCTGGCGATGCTCAGCCTTTCGGGGCTGACTGCTTTCCCTCTGCATCTCTGTGCTCCATGCTGAGGCAGTGTGGCTGCTTGTTGCAAATCCCTTTGGTGAGCTCCTCACACCCTCTGGACATTGTGTGAGCTTAGTGTGGTGTGTGGCGTTGGCAGCCCTTCCCCCAGACAGGTAATAAAGCATCGGAGTTGTCTGTCTGGTTATTTGCTCACCAGCAGGATCATACAGTGCCTGTCTTAAGAGCTCTTGCTGAAGTCCAGGCTGACATTTCTGATAAGGAACAGGAGGTTGCTCTTGCTCTAGCTGCACATTAAGGCCAGGACTGCTGCTATTGGCACAACCTTCATTTACAGGCTGTGATGAGGAATCTTCCTTTGATCTAAGAAAAGCCATTTGCTCAGTATTATCGCAGCATTCCTTATTGCCATGATCCAACTTCCCAGAGGGAGGCTGCTCCAATTCTACAGCATCACTACTGCAGGATAGCGGCGATTTCTGCATTTTGCCTGGTGGGTTCAGAAGCGGTTCCCTAACAACGCTCCCAATTTCTCCTTTGTAGTCATAGCACCCATTTTTATCCGTACAGATGCTGAACTTCCTGGATGCGTTTTTTATAAGGAGAGCATTCTCTGTACATTTCAAGTCACAAATGTCCTCAAACACCTCCTGACCCACGTTCAGAGGCAGCTCAGCACAGAGCGGGCACTGAGCGCACAGTGGGGATCCCTTCCATCGGCTTTGCAGCTCTGCATCCCCGAGCACTGCCCGGTGTGCACTGCATGGGCACAGCTCACCCCCTCCTGCATCACCAGCAGCACCAGGGCTGCTGTGTGCACATGTGTAGGGCCTGGGCTTCACCTCTTCAGAAACACTGTGCATGTGAGCTGAACCGTAAGCAGACAGAATTTTAGGGATGTTAGCCATGGAATCAGTCTTCAAATATTCTTGAAAAATGAAGGAGGATGGCCTGCTGTAAACGTGGGGATTACTTCTCCTCACAGGCTTTTGGGATGGGCTCCACTCTCCATTTTCTTCTGTCTTTAACCCCTGAAGTTTTGATACAGATATTCCATCTGCAGAACCAGAAGGGCCCTTATTTTCCAGAGCCCTTCTCCTAGCTGCCACCATAGCTGGCTCACCGTTGCCAGCCCCTGTTTGGCCATGCAATGCACTCACCGGCTGGCTGTCCATGCAAGGAGCTGACTGCTGCACACTGCACTCACTGAGACCTCCAGAGTTCCGCCTCCCTCTCCCCTTTGTGCTTTCCAGGTGTCTGGTGACTCTGTAGCTGTCGAGTCGCATGGGAGGAGAGGGCGGAGGTGCAGCCGGAGGCAGCAGTCCCTGGTCCAGCGTCCCACGGGAAGGAGTGCCACTGCTGCACTCAGCAAGAGCAGGGCTGTGAGAGGCAGCGGGGATGCCCTGGGCTGGTGCCTGGCACGGCTGCAGGCATCTGAGAGCAGAGCTTGCTGCGCTGAGGTTATAAATGCCTCTTACGTATTCCGAGTCCATGTACGGTACCTGCTCTGAAGCTGAACAGCAGTCTGCTTCATAACACGATGGGGTGTGATACTCTGGAACATTTGAACCCCCTGAGAAAGAGCTGTACGCAGAGTCTGCTCGCCCAGCGAGGTGCAGGACGTGGTCTGTGCTGCCAAGGGATGGCACTGGGGACAGACGGCTGCTGTCAGGAGCAGCTGTAGGCTCCATCAGTGCTCCTATTCCGCCGCCGTGCCTGCGAGGCCATCTCTCTGTCTCGTTCTCAGATACAGCCATGGGGAAGGCTTTCCAGGAAGCTGTTCAATTAGATATCCACACCCACGTTGTTGGAAAAGCCCATTTTGCACTGCAGCCACATTTCAACAATATTTACAGGATCCTAACATGGAAAGGAGAAAAAAAGAATGGTGAAAGAGAGTGGGTGGGAGGATGGTGGCACTCAGGGAGAGCAGGCAGTTAGCAACACACACCTGTTGAAAATGAGGACTAGAAAACAATGTTCAGAGAAGCTACATAGATTCAGTAGGTACAGGGATCTTGAAACCACCAATTCCTTTACTGCAAAACAACAACTAAGTTTTTAATAACAAGAGTTCTCTAGATCTTCACTAAATGCAAGGCTGCATGCAACTGGAAGACACCTTCTCGTTATGACTGCAAATACCAAGGGACAAAATCAGAGCCTGATTCTGAGTCTACCTACAAATAAACCTGAGAGGTTGAAATTCCTGCTCAGATGCTCCCTGATCCCAGAGGTACCCAAACACAGCACAGACGGGGTTCCATGAAAAGCCCAAGGGATGCAGAGCTGTGCTTTGGGAGATGCTCACAGCCATGGGTCGGCACCCAGCTCTCAGCTGGATCAACGCAGCCCTCCTCTGAACAGCAGGAGGTTTTGCAAACACAGTGCTGCAATTACAACTCGCAGAGCGCACCTGACCCTGCCAGCACCTCTGTTCAGTATTTCTGTTCAGAAGCTCTCATACAGAACATATGGACAGTAGTGCAGGGATTAGCCCATAAGAACGATCAAATGGGAAGAAATCATGATGACCATCAGCCCTATTAGCCCCCCCAGAGCCCTGCTCCTCTGAGCCTTCCATTGCTTCTCAGGGGAGCGAGAACCAAATGAACAGGATGTAAACGATGCCCTGTTGAAGTGAACTTCCATGCCATGTCAATGCATGCTTAAAAATACCTATCCTGGAAGACCCTTCCCAGAGCTTTACAGCAAGTGCCTTGAGGAGACCAGTGGTACCTGGGAGTGGGGTTCTGTGGTCAGTAAAAAATCACAGATTTCAAACAACAGACAAATGCTTTTATGCCTGATGTTAGGAACTGCCCTGCCAACATTCCAGAGGCACCAAGAATAAAGTTCACATGCAACAAATACAGAACTCTTGTGGAGTCGAGAAAGCAGCCCATGTTCATTAGCAGCACTTGACATTTACTCTGAGTCTTACACAACACACACAGGTTTACTCTGAGAAATGGGATCTCTGCAGGCAGCCACGTAAGGGGCACCAGCAGGCTGCAGGAGGTGGCCATGCTGTGTGCGACCCCCCCGGCTGCTTCTGCAGCTTCACACCCCTCTGATGTGCATACAGGTGGTACAAATCCCAATGGAAACCCAACTCGGTGAGCCTGACAGGCCACAGGCAGCGGCTGCGTTTAGGAACTCCCATTTAGATCAGCTGTAAGGATCAATTAGTTATTAAAAGAAAGCAAACAAATAAACAGCTCCAAGGGCCTTCAGAAATGAGCTCCTCCATAGCGATGCTCCTGGAGAAAGGCAAATGGTTTCCAGATCCTACTGCAGTTCTGCACGTCTGTCTTCATCACAGAGGTTGGACTCAGATTTCCATCCTCTGTTCCTGACAGCACACAGAGCAGGGGGCCTCGCAGGGCTGGCAGACAGACAGATCCCAGGGCTGATGCTGCTGTTTAATCAAAAAACACCACATTCCTGCCCTGTTTCAAAGACAGTCATGGTATCATTCATCTTCCACCAAAGGAAGAGATGGATGGAAGCCAAAATACACCAGTTAATCTATAAAGAGAACTTGGACTTGTGGGGCACAGTAAATAAATTAACGAGTTTCTGAGAAATGAAAGGAGCGTAACGCCACAAGGTTGGAATTTCTGCTGTGTTCTTCCAGAAATTGCAGTCAGAAATTGACCCGAGGACACACGGTGAGGTTCCCTCTCCCTCCTCTAACATCATCTAACATGCAGCTGCGTATTAGTCTCTCCTTGGTAAAGGGGTGACACAACAAACATCAACAGCTGCTGCTGAAGTTCCCCGTCCTTTTCATCACAACACATTGAAGAATTTCAAGAAATAAAAACCTTAGAGATCTGGTGAAACAAAAACTGGAGGTTTCCTGAAGCCACAGAAGGGGAAAAGCAGATGAGAGAGTGGTGGTGCTGGCACAGAGCACAGTCAGACTGCACCACCTGTGCTGCTACCCCGGGTTGCCCACATCACCTGCAGAGCAGACGGCCTCAGAACAGCACCATCCTCAGCCATGTGCTCCCATGCAGTTCTGTGAGCTCCAGCACACCCGGAGCTGCCCAGGACGAAGCCCTGTGGGAACCACAAGAGAACCATGAGGCAGATTCCCCCATCATTCTGATCTTCGTTTTCTAGTCAAAACTGTGTTCCAGTGGAACTTCTCCAGGCAGCTCTTTTACATCCCGACCACTGCTAACAGGCCGAGCCAAGTCTTTGTCTGGGACGTGCTGGCACGGTTCCATGGAAGTCATGGTGCTACCCTGATTTACAACATGACTTTGGCACTCACTTTCCACAGCTATGTGTAGAATTTAAACAACAGTCGTGCTTTGGTTTTATGTACATCGGTGAAAGAGCTCTTGTGGTTCCTATGCCGGTGTTTCCCAAGATCTCTTTCCCCCCATTATTTCAGGCTACCCTTGTTTGTCGTTTACAGTGAAGTCAGCAACAAAACCAATTTATGTCTCAAGCTTATATGGCACCATAAATAACAGGAAATATACAACTTCAGCTCCTTTGAAGGGGAAGGTAAGATCATCTGAGCTGGAAAAAGCAGCAGCCACCACTGACCCACTGTTTGCAGGAGGACATGGAGGCTCATAGGACGTCATGGGACGTTCCTTCCCTCGCTGCTGTCTCTCCTGCTCCCTCATGAAGCTGCCTGCCGCCTTTCCTCCTGGTAGCCAAGTGCCAGATAAGCAGGAGAATTTTTTCTCCACTGCAGTGCCCTCTGCTCCCACTCTTGCCATGGCTCTGATTTCCTTTAAGTGCAAGCTTACAATTGCACATCTTCGAAGTAACAGAAAAGGAGTAAGAGCTGAAGTTATCTGCTGTTCTCCAACAGTCTCTACTAAAATTTAAATAATATGATAATGAAACACATCTAGAGAGAAAACCTATTGCTGCATTTGTCATCCTATTTGGAAAGGCATTGCTTAAACTCTGGCAGAAAAAAAAAATCATTGACCTCAGTGTGTAAATAAGTACATAAAAGCTGCCGTTCTCCCTCCACAAGAGCAAGAATTTTCTTAAAACCCAACTGACACAACCAGTGATGCTGCTGTTCTCTCAGCTGGTGTAGCACACCCTCATGGAGCTGCCTCTGGCTCTCAGAATGCCCTGGCAAATCTGTAACACAGTGGGTTCGTGGGTTCCAGATTAACTCACTGTATTTTCACTGTAAACCTCCAGAAGCAAAAAGAAAAAAGAAGTTGAATTAAAAGTATATCTGAACAAAGGAGACTGCAAGGTGAAGGGAGGTGTGTTAACAGCGCGTCATTCCAGGTGCCCAAGGAAGAACTAAGCCCACTAACAACTGCTAAGGGCCCGACAGAAGCGTTCTTTCTAAAAACTCTGAACAAAAATTAAAAAGTTTATTTCACTTCTGTTCACTTCTTTCTTATGTTTACTCCCGTTCTGCCCAGGAAACTGCACACGGAGCACAGCCCTCTATGCAAAGCAGTTTGCAAACACAAACCTACGGCCTGTGCTGCAGACATCTGACAAAGTAACGCGGTGAACAAAAGCATGAAAACGAGCAGCGAGGAGCCCAGTGCTGCACGGCAGGCGGGCGGCCAAAGCAGAAGGCGGTGCAGACGTGCTCTGTGCCCAGCCTGGGAGCTCTCTGGGCTCCAATAAAGTGTCTTAGATTTGTTCCAAGTTTCTGCCGTGACAGCGGACAAAAAGAACAGGAGTGGCGCAGCCGTGCCGGCAGGTTCATGTTGCTGCTGTCTATGCTGTTGGTTTACTCAGCTTGACACAAGTGCTGTACGCTGAGATTCCTCCTTCAGGCAAATGCTTACCAAGGCAGCCCCAGAGCATGCTGTGAGGCTGTGGTCCTGCTGATGGCCGTGGTGCTCGCAGGCTGCCAGCAGCACCCCATCGCACCAGGGGAAGGAGTTGTGTTGCACAACCCTGAGGTCTCTGCGACCAGCTGAACAGGTGAGAGCCTCGTGTCTCCAGCACGTGTGTTGTGTGCAGAGAAGAGTCAGCGACCTGCTGCGGTCAGTTAGCAACTTACTGCTCCTTTAAGGGCAAGCTTTCTTCTAGTTACAGCCTGTTCCTGTTTGACCTCGTTTAGATGACATCAGGTGCTGCTAATTAACCTGTAACTCATTTACAGGTACACACAGTGCCCCAACATAGTGCCACCCCCCTGCGTCTGACACAGAACTGTTTTCTGTGTCAAATCTCCATTAATCTCAGTAAGCCCTGGGGAGCAGAACCTCGCACTGAATGCAGCCATGCAGGACCCTTGCTCACGTGTTCACTTCCACTGAAGTTTACCAAGTTTACAGTTTACCAAGACAATCTTTCCACCAGAGAAGCAGGAATGGCTACTTAATGAACACAAGCAGAGCTCAAACCTTCATTTGGGACTGACCTATCAGTGTCAGTGGATGAAAAATTATACCTGCACCACATTTTGGGAAATCCAAGAGAATTTCCTCTCCAAAGGATTCTGGAGATAAATGTGACATGCTGCAAAGAGGTCGGCCTGCACAAAGCTTCACAGCCCTATTTCTGTAAAACGGCCCCTTTTGAACAAACAGGTCTGTGGAAAGAAAGGTAAAAAAGCCCACAGCTTTTGATACAGATTAATCCATATCAAACTACAACATGCAACTGTTCTCCAAAGAACACAGAGCAAACACTGTGACCAACCTCCCAGCGTTGTGCCATGTACGTGTTTGTGAATGACCTGCTTCTTATCAAAGAATAAACACTCTGTGTAAATATTAGCCAAAATTCTTCAGATTCCAATCACTTGCACAGTCTTCAGCACCTGATCCAGCTGTTCTGCGGGCCACCAGATTGAATGGCTCCCAGCTCCATGGGCAGCACTGTGCAGTGGCTCCCTGGGGGCTCCCGCAGCCCCATCCAGGACTTCCTGCACACAAACCCATGGGCGCACCATGGGGGTGACCCACACATTCCCACTGACTGCATCTCTGCTTTCCAGACGCATCACGTCTCAGCAGGAGCCGTTCCTCTGACCAGACTGTAATATCCAGCAATTCCAGACAGATGTCTGCAGTCTTCAGATTCTGCCACTTTCACACGACTGTCAGAAGGGTGAGGGAAGGAGAAGGACGGCACAGCCACAAAAGCACAGCCCATCCTTGTGCCAGCAGCCCTGCAAGCCTTTCCCAGCTTTCCTTTTTTCCAAATAGACGCATTGCTTCTCTTTTGCCCCTCGACTTTACAGTACTGAGCTTTCAACTTCAGGTTTCAAACTTGCCTTGTAGGAGAGCAGCATATGAAGGTACCACCTGCAACATTCTCATCAGCCAACTGGAAAACACATCTGCTAATGGGTGTTTTCTAAAGCACCACATTCCCCACCCAGTGCCATTGCCAGGGTTATCACGCAGGCTGCTGCCTGGGGGCTGCTGGGGAGATCGTGCACCCAAACCAAACAAGGCTGCCTTACAGACACGCAGTGGGAAGAAAGTCAAAGCGCTGGGCGTTATTGAGACAGAGCTGAAATGGGATTGGGATGTGGCTGGTGCCTCTCAAACGCACAGAAATAAACATCACCACTGTTTGAGAAATGCGAGTGTTTCATATAAAAGCCACAGACACAGACTTTTGGCTTTCTGGAGCCATGAGAAGTGTCCTGACTAATTCAGAAGGGGATGAAAACAATACATTTTGATACCCTCTGGGCTGGCACAGCCCTTCCCAGCACCATCACTGTGGACAGGAACGTTTGCCACTCGAATCCCACTTGAATTTTGCTGACAGAAGACTGCAACCCAAATAAAATGTTTCTGGGCCCAAGAGCCACAGTCTGATCTCTGACCAAGGATTTAATGAGGAAGATCAGGTTTGGCAATTCTCCACAGCCCTGTGAGAGACCTTTTTTTGAGCACCCAACAGAGTCTGACCTTTTAATCGGAGCAGTCACCCGCCACATTCTTCTCCATTGTCCTCAATTCACTGACTTTCCTCATTCAGCCTCAAAAATGTATCCTGACTTCCATCATCCTTACTCCCTAATCTGCTGAACGCCAAACAGTTCTTTTCCTTTTCAACTCTGAATGCACTTCACAGAACATGCTTTTGTCAGAAATCACTACTTCATCCCCAAAACACACCTTTCCAGACTTTCCCATTCCAGTTCTTCTTCCTTCACCACAATTTTCCTTCTTTTTTTAGCTTGATCAAGCTCGCTTAATACCCAAAATGTATTATCCAAGAACAGAAGGCAGAACACTCAACAGCACTAAACCAGAAGGTCTGATGACCTCATAATTTCAGAGAGAAGAAACGATTGTTGATTTTTACACGTGTGTATGGACCAGATCTTCTAACATCCAAGAAAACATGAAAGACAACTCAAACCAATTGCAAAGCTCTTGTTCCCTTCGCACTTATACCCTCCCAATAAGTTTAAAAGAATTAAGGCCATAGAACTACATTTTCTGCCCCTACTTGACTGAGTACAGAGAGATGACAAATCTTGAATACATGGGGACGCACTTGGAAGACTTTCTCCTTGATGGATAAGCAGTTCCCACATATTTTAGCAGACAGCCCAAACCAACAGCACCCACAGATCAGAGCCAGCCGTCCCCAAACTTCCCCGAGAGCTCCAGGAGAGCTCCCATGCACTCAGACTTCAGGGAGGGTTGGCTGGCTAAGAAATGCTATGAAATCATCTTCTGGACAGTGGTTTTCTGGCATATTCTTTCTTCTGTCCTCAGAAGCTTAATGGATGGCTCTGCCATTGCAACCCACAAGGCCCAGACCGAAAAAGTCTGCAATTTCAGTTTCTCTGTGCTGCAATTATGTTTTCCACAGACAATGCTGTAAGGAGAGCAGG